CTGGGAGATTGCAACCGATTTATGATTTACACGACCAAATGCTATGCTACCCTTTGAGACCTTCGAGACCCACAGTTCACCACATAATGAATAGAAAAAATCAAGTACCGTACCTTTGAGACCATGAGATCAGCTAGGGTTTGACGACATGGTGATGTCGTCCGTGACCATATCCAGTTTCCGGTAGGAAGGCTTACCTTATATAGGGGGCTCGCGCGTAATTGACACGCATTCTCCCACTGCGGTTCATTTTTGGATTCGTGACCCGAATCCAGAATGCCTCCAGGGTTTTTCGCGCGGATGTTTGAGTTGCATACGCAAGGATATTGACCGTGACCTCAAAATCCTCTCCGTTATGACTTTCGACCCTGTGGCAACCAAGGCTGTCGAGGTACGCAACCTGGCCTTTCCATCCAAATGCTTGCTAACCCTCACATAAAGAGGTCCGGTCGTCTCACCTTCATATTCACCTCCACATTTCTGGCAGGAAGTTTTGTAGACCACCCTGTAACCGCACAGTCTCCGGGTCTGTCAGTGGGACAGACTCCGCAGTTCCACATGGGCGATCGTAGAGACGATTTTGAATGAGACGTCGCTTCAGGTTGTCGAGAGGGACTTTCGATATCACAATATTTTCCACTCCCAACCTCGGAAGTGCTACTTCATCGGAGATGAAGGGTACTGCAAAGGGTCCTCCCCTCCAAGAAGTTTCTATTAGGTCTATTGTTTGCATCATTTGCTCTCGTCCTATGCAAACATGAAGGGCGTCCGTAGCCGCGTCCACGGACTCACCTCTCCTGTGCAAACCTGTGTTGCGGTCCTGGAACATGCTCCTCACCGAAGCGCGTTTTGGTTGGAGAGGGTGCTGTGATCGCCAGTGGAGAATGATGTTCTTACTGCTGGGCTTTCAATACCCGTGAAATTGTCGCAGGTGCTGGTTACGCTGCCACGTTATTTTGGGTGGCGAAGCTGGTGCAGTTCTCAGCTGAGGGTTTTCCCATTTCACACACAGAAAGGGTCCCACTCACAGGTAATCACCGGTGGTTATACAGTGTACCATACGTGAGGATGTCACTTTAGGTAGGTTGACCCCACTGAGCACCTCCCCATATTTGACTGAGAGGATACTGTATGAGGTCCCCTCAGGATGATCACCCTGGCTCGCTAG